TATATATATATAATTTCTCCCTGCCCTCCTTCAGTGAATTGTGAGCTGAATGCACTGACTTGACTCTTAATAGAATGTGGCAGAAATGGTGGTATGTGACATCTGAGACATCTTTATTCTCTGTTCTGTATCCCTTGTTCTGGGAGATGCTGATGGCCATGTTGTAAGGACACTGGAGCAGCCTTCAGGGCGGCCCCTGTGGCAGGGAAAAAAAGACTCCAGCCAATATCCATGTGGAGGTGCCACCTTGGAATGAGATCCTCCAGCCTCTGTCAAACCTTCAGAATAGTGCATCCTCGGCTGACTTTTTGTTGTTGTTCAAGACAGAGTCTCACTATGTAGTCCAAACTGGCCTTGAAATTAATTATAGTCCAAGCTGGCCTTGAACTCATGGTGATCGTCCTGCCTCAGTCTTCCAAATGCTAAGATTACAGGCATGTATCACCACACCTGGCTTCTTTTTTTCTTTTTCTTGTCCTTTCCCTTTTCTTCCCCTCTCCCTTGTTCCCCTTTTCATTTGAACATTTTCTTCCTTTTTAACAATATCTATTATACTTTTTTTTTTTTTTTTTTTTTTTCTGTACGGGGCTTCAACTCTGCACTTGCCAGACAGGCGCTTATGCCGCTGAGCTATCTCCTCCTCCATTTTGATCCTTATTATTTACACCTTTGGTTTCTCACACCAGAGAAACAATATGATATTTAAACATATGTGTCCCATTTATTTCACTTAAGAGTATATTGTCAAAGTGTGTCCACTTACCCTAGAGATGTCTCAAACCTATCCTTCTTTATGGCACAGTCGTTCTCCATTATATAAAAAAAACCACTTTTTTTATGGGCTATTACAAGATTTCGCTATTACAGATTATGCTGCTATACACATGGGTGTACATATATCATTGTGGTATGATGCTGTTAATTCTTTTGGAAAGATGCTAAAATGAGAATAGCTGGATCAAATGGAACCTCTAGTTTTAGTTTTTGTTATGGAATCTCCACACTGGTTTGCACAATAGTTGCAGTAGTTTACACATTACTGGATGGTAGCCATTCTTTCTGGAATATGTTATATTCATTTACATGTCTTGAATGACCAGTGATGTTGAACATTTTTTTCATATATTTGCCATTTGTATTTCTTCATCTGAGAAATGTCTGTTCATTTCAGATATCCATATTTGGCTTAGGTCTTTAAATTTAGTGGATCTGATTTTTTTTTTTTTTTTAGTTCTCTATTCTAGGTACTAGTCCTTTGTCTGAGGTAAAATTCAGCTGGTAAAATTTTTTTCCTACTCTTGTGTGTTGTCTGTTCACTCTGTTGGTGATTTCTTTTGCTGTGCAAAAGATTTTAATGAGATGAGATCCCAGTTGTTGATTCGTTGTGATAGTTCCTGTGCAATCAGGGTTTCATTCATAAAGGTTTTGCGTATACCACTGTTTTCAAGACTTCTACCTTGGGGCCAGGGAGTTGGTTCAGTAGAATAAGCATTCACCTGGCAAGCACAAGCACATGAGTTCAATCCCCACTTCTGCAAAAAAACAAAACACAAAAAACAAAAAAACCCCACTTCTATCTGTCCTATCTTCAAGCTGATTTAGTGTTTTTTGTTTGTTTTGTTTTTGTTTGTTTTTTGTATTTTAGGGAAGGGTCTACAGGGTGTTCAGGGTCTCACTACTAGATCAGACTTGTAGTGATCCGCCTGTTTACAGCCTCCCAAGAGCTGAGATTACAGGCACGCCACCATGCCCAGTCTCAGTGGCCATCTCAGCAGGTCCTGGGGTCGGGGCCATTACTGCAGGCCCAGTGTTTCTCTTTTAATATTTAGATCTTTGATCCGTTTTGATTTTAGTTTGGTGCATAGTGAAAGATGTGGGTCTAGTTTTCTGGCATGTGGAAA